AGAATAGAGTTCTAAGGGGGTTTCTTTGTAAACCAAAGTTGTAACTTATTCTTTCATTAGTGAATTTCTCAAGGGGATCACCAAGAGGATGTAGGCAATTGCTGAACCTCTATAAATTCTTGTGTCACTTTGTGCTTGGTTGGTTTCTCAAGTGTGTGTGTGTGATTCATCCATTATTTTGTTTGTCACAAAGTCCATCAACAACAAGATCATTAGGGGAAGGAGTGAAAGTGTTTATCCATTTTCACAACAGGGTGTGGCCTTGACGCCGAACCAACATGTTGCTGCTATAAGTGCCAGTGCATTTTATGCAATATGGAATGTCTTCTCAGGGTTCGTCATTCCCCGAACCGTAAGTGTTTCTTACCCTCAACTTGTAATGCATGTTTTATGTGTGCATAGAATCTGTCTTCATGTCTTTTTTTCTCATCCTGTAATTTTGATTCCTGTTCATTTGGCCAACTACAGAGGATTCCTATATGGTGGATATGGTACTATTGGGCATGTCCAATGGCTTGGACCTTGTATGGACTGGCTACGTCACAATTTGGAGATATACAGGACAAGCTTGAGACTGGTGAAACAGTGGAAGAATTTATGCAGAATTACTTTGGTTTCAAGCAAGAATTTATAGGAGTGGTGGCTGCTGTGGTGGTTGGATTCACTCTACTCTTTGCAGTTATCTTTGCCTTGTCCATCAAGAAGTTGAATTTCCAGAGGCGATGAAATTTTTGTTTCAACAGGATTGTCTGGGGATGGCTAACATGTCAACAACTTGTTCATCATCTAGGAATTTCTTTGAGTTGCAGTTTTAATTGTTAGCAGGCCAAAAAGTTGGCACCAACCATTATCGTTTTTGCCTCTATCATGTGAAGCCTAAGAACTGACAATTATATTCGTGAAGGCCATGCTAACTAAGTTGATTGTAGAAGATATTAAGCTCAAACTTACAAGTTATTTTTTGATAGGGAAAGCCTCTATGTTGATTGTAGATATAACAGTATATTCTTATTTGTCGCCTGCTAAATTTCATGTAGTATTAGCCTGAAAAATAAATGTTGGCTGGAAAGCAGAAGGATAAATGCTTTAATCAGAAGAAAGCAGCCAGTTTAGAGTTTAAAATGACGGTTTAAGAGATTTCGCAACGATTTTGTGGATTTGGCGCTGAACATCTGACTTTTCGTGACGAAATGTGGGTACCTAATATGTTAAATAATCTTTAGCAACACTTTTAACAGCTGGTAAGCGTTGTAACAGCGATCTTTAGCAGCGTAAGCCTAAAGCGCTCCTAAAAGTCAATTTTGGAGTTTCGGACGCCTACCTTATCCTAAGACTATTACAAATGCATTCTTTCACACATTGTGCATTTAGAAATTTACTCAAATTTGCCACAAAATACATCAAATTCAAATTTAACATTTTACATTTCACATCTCCCTTGGAGATGCTCTACGAACCTAAATGGATCAAATACACCCTATAATAAAGTCCAACTTCTTTTTTATCCTTTTGCATTATATCCTATTTTTGTTTTCATATCACGCAAGCATGTTTTAAATATGTGAACAAAAAAAAAAAACATGCTTTAAATATGTGAAAAAAGCATGTTTTTACTATGATGGAGGAATAATTGTGGTTGTAGTAGGAGTGGAAGTAATGTTTGCATTAATCAATTATATTTTTTGGTATTTTGAATGTTTCATCAGTCTCTACCTTTTGCTTTTGTATATATAAATAGGGATCGATATAGATGGTGATGTTGCATTACTTGTAGTTTTGTATAATTTGTTTTTTATTCATAAGATATTTCTTGTATATAATTTGTTTTGTATAATTTAAAATGCACAATTTTTTTTTTGGTTGTATTTAAAATGCACCATTATTAATAACCAACTGTCCTTTTTTTTTTTGCCCCCAAGTTTGATATTTTGATTTGTAATATTCATGAAGGCAAGTTATACAAGGAATTCCTTAAGAATCGCCAACTCAAAAGTGATTAAATGAAAGGTGGCGTCAGCCCATGAGTCACAGGATAACAACATATTATGAACAAAATATCTTCTAAATAATCTTTTCCCATAAATACAACTTTCCTTGAATTGCTGAAAAAAGCAAACCCAATCATACACTTCTTTATTCTGTTCATTTCTTCTCATGTTATTTTGTTTCTTGGTAAGAAAGTTTGGGAGAAAGAAATTGCAGCTGTTTTACAATGGATATGATGAGTGGTGATCTTGAAAAGGCAGGCCATAGTTTCAAAAGTGGTTCTTCCTATTGGGTCGACAATGGCATTGCAGTTTTCTCAACATCCCCACAGGTAGAAGACGATGAGGAAGCTCTGAAATGGGCTGCGCTGCAGCGTCTTCCTACTTTTCGCCGTCTAAAGAAAGGTTTGCTCACAACACCTGAAGGCCATGCCAATGAAGTTGATGTGAAGCGTCTTGGTTTGCAAGAAAGGAAAGGCTTGGTTGAGAGGTTAGTGGGAGTAGCAGAAGAGGGCCAAGAGAGCTTCTTGTTGAGGCTCAAGAGCCGCATTGATAGGTAAGATTTCACAATCTAGTCTTCTGGGTTTTCTTTGTTTTTTATCATAATGGGATTGTTTTTTCTTGGGTATCTCAGAGTTGGGATAAGCTTTCCTACAATAGAGGTCAGATTTGAGCATTTAAAAATTTCAGCTGAAGCTTATGTTGGAAGCATGGCTTTGCCTACAGTCTTGAACTATTGTGTTAACTTAGTGGAGGTAAATTATATATTATAGAACATTTGATTTTCCTGTCAAATCTCACTATATTCTTAACACGTTATTTGTTTCTGTGCACCAAAAGGGTTTCTTGAATTGCATCCATGTTCTTCCTACTAAGAAGAAACACTTGTCTATCCTTAAAGATGTCAGGGGGATCATCAACCCATCCAGGTGAGAAGAAAGGCTCTGTCCTATCCATGAAATAAACTCTGTTTTGTTCATCTTTATATATTGATCTCTTTCAATTCAAGATTAGTCTTTGAAGCCTAAATATGCATACTCATTTGATTACTCATTTAATATAAATAATTAAATACTTTAACCAGTCAACAAAATCAATGCAATTGATATAAACTGGGATTCAACTATATATCAATTAATCATTAAATCCAAGTGAAATCTATGGTTAAGCCAACACTTAATTATCCTAAGACCCTTATCTTTTAATTAATTGAATATATATTTATTAATCAATCACTAAGCCCACATGGCCCAATCCTTTTTAAACTTAAAGGAGGACCAACACTTAATCTTCCAATGTGGGACAAAGTTTCAACTCAAACACTCTACCCTCTAACATTTTCACCAATAAGAAAGTACTCTACTCACTTAACTTAGTGTTTTTCCTTTTTTTGCAGAATGACACTGCTTTTGGGTCCTCCAAGTTCCGGGAAGACCACACTCTTGTTGGCTTTGGCTGGAAAGCTTGGTCAGGATCTTAAGGTTAAACAAATGCAGTGCGCCTTTAATTTCTCTCAGTTTTTCTATCATTTTTTTTTTCCTTTTGAGCTTTACCCTTTAAATGTTACTCTTGCATTTTGTTTTTAATTTATAAAGTAGAAATACTTGTCCAGTCTTCAGGAAGTGTGACTTACAATGGTCATGACATGCATGAGTTTGTGCCTCAAAGGAGGGCTGCCTATATCAGTCAATATGATGTTCATATTGGAGAACTGACAGTCAAAGAAACCTTGGCCTTCTCTGCAAGATGCCAAGGGGTTGGACCCCGTTATGGTTGGTTTATAGGACTGTTTCTTATTTAGTTTCCTTTGATTTTCAAAACTAGACCAATGGATTAAAACATGACTGGTTTTGATTTTGAATTTGGGCAGAAATGATAGCAGAGCTAACTAGAAGAGAAAAAGAAGCGAATATTAAGCCGGATCCAGATGTAGACGTCTACATGAAGGTGAGAAATAAGCTACTTTAAGACTCTTAAATGAAGAGGTCTGTAGACTCTTGCTATATTTCAGGATTTAGGAGATTCTGCTATATGTGACCTTTTTCTTCCTATAAGATTGGGACTTCCTTTTTTGCTTGTTCTACGATATGCTTTTCAAGTCATCAAACATTTCGGTTGCTTTAATTAATCTGCTATGTTATCATAGGCAATTTCAACAGAAGGTCAGAAGGAAACATTGGTGACAGATTATATTCTTAAGGTAGCATCAATAATTCTTCTGTAATAAAAAAGGACTTTTAGAAATTACCATCAACTAATCAATATCCATTGATTTGCAGATTTTGGGATTAGATACTTGTGCAGATACCTTGGTGGGGGATGAATTATTAAGGGGTATCTCTGGAGGGCAAAAGAAACGAGTCACAACAGGTTAACAAAGTAAAGTTCTTTACATCAAACATGTAATTCAACTTCTTCATAAAGTAATTGTAGAATTTTTGATAATGTGTATAGGTGAGATGCTTGTTGGACCTGCTAGGGCTCTATTCATGGATGAAATATCAACTGGATTGGATAGTTCAACAACTTATCAGATTGTAAATTCAGTCAAGAACTATGTTCACATCCTTAATGGGACTGCAGTCATCTCACTGCTGCAGCCAGCACCTGAAACTTATGAACTATTTGATGACATTATTCTCCTTTCTGATGGCCAAATTGTGTACCAAGGCCCTCGTGAACAAGTTCTTGATTTTTTTGAATCCATGGGCTTTCAATGTCCTGAGAGGAAAGGCGTGGCTGATTTCCTGCAAGAAGTAGGTTCATATATAGATTTTTGCTTCATCTTATGAACATAATTAGATAAACATTAAACGCGAGTCCTATAACCTAACATGTTCTAGGTGACATCAAGGAAAGATCAGGAGCAGTATTGGAAAAACAGAGATGAGCCTTACAGGTTCATCACAGTTCAGGAATTTGTTGAGGCTTTTCAGTCTTTCCCAGTGGGTGTAAAAATTAGAGAAGAACTTGCAGCTCCATTAGACAAGACCAAGAGCCACCCAGCTGCCTTGACGACCAAAAAATATGGTGTTAGAAAAATGGAACTATTGAAAGCTTGCTTTTCAAGGGAACTCTTGCTTATGAAGAGGAATTCATTTGTCTACATTTTCAAGATCATTCAAGTTAGTTTTGACTTAATTTTAACTTCTACAATAGCTTTTTCCTTTTTCTTCTGTGTGCCTGGATTTAATCTGCATTACTTCTTTTCCTTCATTTTAGCTTGCAATAATGGCACTGATTACAATGACTGTATTCCTATGGACTGAGATGCACCGTGATTCAGTAGCTGATGGAGGAATATATGCTGGTGCTTTGTTCTTCTCCTTTGTTACTGTTATGTTCAATGGAATGTCAGAGCTTTCTATGACTACTGCCAAGCTTCCTGTTTTCTATAAGCAAAGAGACCTCCTCTTCTTTCCGGCGTGGGCATATGCCCTTCCCACATCTATCCTCAAGATCCCTGTCACATTTTTAGAAGTTTCTGTTTGGGTATTTATCACTTACTATGTCATTGGATTTGATCCAAGTGTTGAAAGGTAATTAAGTACGAAATTTGTCACATTACCCTTTACATTTCTCTTCATATTTGTTCTAGCCCATATAATATACAATTCTGAAAATGATGCAGGCTGTTTAGACAATACCTTCTATTCTTACTCATTAATCAGATGGCTTCTGCATTAAACCGATTCCTTGCTGGAGTGGGTAGAAGCTTGACAGTTGCTAGCACATTTGGGT